AGGTGTAATGAATAGATTGATGAAGGTAAAAGAGAATTTATTAAAAAAGAAGCCTATAAAAAAGTCTTATAGGTATTCGAGACTTGAAAGGTAATTAGTAAGATCTTTTGGCTAAATTATTTGAAGCAGCTAGACTTGTGCTCAATTCTGATGATAGTAAAAACAATAAAATATCAAGCTATCTTTAGGCTATAGTTGAAAACTGTATAAACAATGTGAATAAATTGTTAAACAAAGAAGGTAAAAAAATAATGATAGCAAAGATAAAAAAAATAATGAAGATAAAAAAAGTGAAGTAAATGATGAAAGTGAAGAAAATCATGAAGATGAAGACAAAAAATATAAAGATAAAAAAGATGAAGGCAAAAAAGATAAAGATATATTTTTGGTTGATTTTGATGATTAGCTATATGCTAAAAATATTTCAGATTTTGAAATGTTAGATATGGATTCAATAAATATCAATAATGTAAATTGACATTAGTATGTAAAGTTAGTTTATTTTTTAATTTTATTTTTATTTTATTTTTTTTGCTGATATTGACCTAATTTTAGCTAATCATTCACAGTAATAGATTTGTCAAAACTGTAATTTTTATCAATAATAAAATTTATAATCTCAAAACTTTAAAAAAACAACTTAAAGTAATGCATAGTTCAAGCTAAATAAGCAAAAAAATGTACAAACTTATCTTCACTTTTGTACTATCAAACAAATTTTGTTATGTTTTAAAAATAAATACTTAACTTTAACTATTAATAATGTGTATAACCTATCTTTACTAAATTTTAGTTACAAAATTTAAGATCAGATATTAGTAATTAAAATATTCTAGTAGTTAAGCATTAGTTAAAGAGAATTTTCCACTTATATATGTATAAATCTGTATATTTTTAATAATATTAAACTGTTTGTTTTGTTAAAATTTTTTTTAGCAGTTAGGCCTATAAATATTTAATAGATACATTATTATTATTAAACTATATTAAATTCTTATAAAATAAATTGTATATTAAAAAGAAAAATTCAAATAAGTTAAAAATCAAATAAATTAAAAATTCTGATTATATATAGTAATTTAATTTATTCTATGACTTAGATGTGTATTATTTCAGGATTTATATGCATGTTATTTTGAACCAAATATAGTATTTTTTAAGGAGGCAAATTTCAAATTAATACTTATGAGCATTATTTCACAAGTATATAATAAAATAATTTAATAATAAAATTGCTTAATTAATTTATTCTGATGACAAAGTACAATTGAAATCACTTACTTTAGAAATTAATAATCAAAATTAGATATTAGAATTTAGAAAAAGAATAAATTATTAGAGTAAAAAAAATATAATCATATATTCAAATTATATTCTTATAAACCTGACCAAACCAAACTTTAATAAAGTTTGTATTTGGTTTTCAAACTTTTAGTCAAGTTTGTGCTTGCTTTTAAACTTTTAGTTAATATTTGGGTTTGGTTTGGTTTGGGTTTGAAGTTTGCAAACTACATCAGCAAATTTATAAATGCAAATATTACAAAAGATTTTGCATTACAAAGAAATTTCAAAAATAAGTGCAATAATTTTTGAAATATTTAAAAAATGCAATTTTTAAAAAAATTTTGGTGAAATTTTTAAAATATTTTGAAATATATTTTGAAAAATTTTAACCAAAATAATTTTGAAATATTGCAAAATTATTTAAAAATATTGCTTATATTTGACTATATATATTAGAATAATTTTTATACTGTATAAATTTCTTTTTGGAATTGACTTTGAGGTAAATATTTTGAAATATTAAGGAAAAATTAATTCGCATTATTTCAAATATTTTAACAAACTTACATATCAATCTACTGTATGTTGTAAATAATAATCTACACACGTTTTTTTTGCTTGATATTTTTTTTTAGTTTCTAGTTTTTTTTTATGATCTTTTTTGGTCTTTTTGATCTTTTTCTTTTTGATTTTCTTTTTTTTTTGATTTTTTGATCTTTTTCTTTATCTTTTTTTTCTACTTTTCTTGTTAGATCTTTTTTATTCTTTTTTTTTGTTTTGATTTAGTTTTTTTTATTTATTGTTTTTTTTACTAACCGATTTTACAAATATATATTTAGCGTCGACTCTATCACAATGTATATCAGATATTGGATCTTTGCTTTTAATTAATTTTTCTCGGTCAAATATTAATCTATCTTCATCTTCGGATTTAGTACTATTCACTCCTTTCTTCATCACCTCATTTTTAATATCCAAATACTTCTGTTCATCTTTTTCAGCAATCATTCTATTTTGGTAATATTGTCCAACACTATACGTTCTAGCGAAATCTTCTATCTCCACAGATTTTTGGTGATATTCCAATACTTGAACTCCACTATTTCTGTCTTTTTCCATATCAAGACTTTTAAGTAAATTTTCTACTTTCAATTTACTCATATTTGTTTTGCTTTCTTTATTGACTGTTTCTCTATCTACACTAACTATTTTTTTCTTTATATTTTCTACTTTTTTTGCAGAATCATTGCAACCTACCTCGTTCTAGAACTATTCAAATAAACTTGTCTCATAACTTGATGTATTGGGCTTTAGATCCTTATTAAGTACTTTATTTTCTTTCTTACCAATGCCTTCTTCTTTTTTCATACTATCATCCAAACACCACCATTCTAGGTTCATCTCATAGGCCGTTAATACAATTATTTGGCAAGATTAATGGTAATCTGCCCAGGTTCTTGTGTTGTAGATTAATAGAACTCTTTAGTTATTAATAACTTAGCTCAAAAGTAGGCACTCTCCAACTGACAGCAACATTAACACTTTTGCTTCAACTTGGGGTAAGTATTTTGCTTATTTACTTTTAATGACTTTTATTTTTGCAGGTAAGAAATTACAAATTAACTTTATTTTGCTTTTTGCTTTTTAAATACAAATTGACTATCACTAATTACATAATCATTGATCACGGCATTTTAACTTTTTTATTGCTTATTACTAATCACGCTATTATCTATCAACTCTATTATGATATTATTCATGCACTGTATATTAATTCTGTGCATTGTTCCCTTAAATGATCGATAACTGATTCTGATTCTAGTCAATTATCACGTGGAAACGTGACTACATGATGATCGATTCAACCTTTTCCAACAAAAGCAAAGTAATGATCCTAATTATATATATATATATATTTTGATTTTTACTAACACGATCACTTCTCTATTATTATAAAATTTCCAAATCGACCACACACTAAGTACCCTGCATACTAGTTCTCACCATGATACTGAGAAGGGTTAATAGAGACTGAGATTTGGATCTTGAACTTGGAACTAGTACTAAGATAAGTACCAGTCATAATTTTCTTTTTTTTACTTTTTTACTTCAGTGATCCTTTCTTTATTTTTTATATCAGCAGTACCTTACAACAAGATATTTCAGTTAGCTAAACCTACATTATCTATAAAAAATACTTTATGTCTGTTATAAATAAAGAATCTCTCAATCTATCTCATTATCATAGTAAAAATGAAGTAAACCCCAAATTTATACTAGAGTACGACCTAGAAGCGACCCACCTAAGTGAACATTTTCTTCTTTTCAAAATTTTCAACTTACTGAGAATATGAGCCCCAGAGATCAAAAGATAGTTTTTACTGATCTTGTCAAAATCACCGCTCTACAATCGAGTGCCACCAATCTGATGACACTTTTTCGTAGAGA